GAGGTGAAGGAATTGCAACATGGCCATCCCCCCTGGGAGGTGATTTCTCACTTTCTGTCTCTCTCTGTCTTTCTGGTGAGCATACGCACCCTATAGCAAAAACCTGTCAAAAAAAAAAAAAAAAATCTGTCTCAAAGAAGTAAATAGTCTTCTTTAGTTCATTTTTTGTCTTTTACAAAATTCATAATAAGAACTAGGAATGCCTCTCTCCACCAACTAGATTATTTGTGCTTCAAAAGTTAGTGATGACTGAATGGATGAATACTCTGAATTCACACACCTTGGTATCATTTATTTATGAATAGCTGACTAGTTGATCCACAAAGAAAACTGAAGTTATTTTAATCACATGATATGTTGTCAAAGCCAGTGGTAGACACATTTTCCGATTGCAAATTATAGTTACTTTCTAAATGTCTGTTCCTTTCACTAGCCTGCAGGTTCCCTGAGAGTTAGTTTCTTGTCTATTCATCTTTATATCTTCTTATTATTAACATCTATTCTATATAATATTTAATGTGTATTTGTAGATCAAATGACCACTTGATGATTCAAAGGAAACTATAAATATATTTTTTTCCATCAGGTACAAAGAGAGTTGCACAGGACCTGAAATCTAATCAAGAGAATCGGTAGTCTTATCCAAACTCTTTTGCACAGTGCTAAACTTGGGGAATTCTGAGAGCACCAGGAGAGAAAATGTAATACATAGAAATCTGTACACAAACCCATAGGAGCAGGGGCAGAGGTTATGACTAACTGCAGTAGAAAGGAATAACCTCTACCCTGTACCTGAGATAGCCCAGCAAGCTAATCTGAAGTCCAGACAAGGATGTGATTCCTATGTTTTAACAAACCCTCCTGATGATTCAAGTGGACTAACTTTCAAAAAGACATTCCAGGGCTTCTATTTACCACCTATTACCACCTTCCTCTCCCCAAGCATATAAGGCATACTGTATTGCATGAACTAATACCCGAGTGACATAGTGGGAAGGAATTAACTGTACTCTGGTAAGTTTGAGACTTAGGACAGTCTGCAGATGGAATGTCTTCATTGTTCACATTGGGCAAAATAATTGCTAGGGCAAGCAGGAATTAGCCATTCTAATATGAGTTGTGATGTAAGTAGCCATGTAGTCTTAGTAGTCACTCAACCTCTGTATGCTTCTGTTTACTCATTTGTGAAATGAAAGGAATGAAGTAATGATTGCTAAGCTTCTCTTTAATGCAAAATTATATAATAAATTTCATGATTCTGGAATTTGAAAACTACTACATCTAAAAAAATAATGGAGGAACCAGCGAGTAGCATAGAGGTTAAGGTGCTGAATCCCACATGGCCAATTCCACAATCTGAGTCCAGCGGCTTGAAAAATCATGCCAGGTGTGTGTGCGTGCATACCCCAAATCCTGAGAGGAAACAAGAAGGGATTGCAGTCTGACCATCCACACTGGAGGATATTTTCTCGCTCTCCCTCTTTCCCCTCTTTTTCTCTCTCTCTGCCAAGTACACATGCCCTATAGCAGAAACAAACAAATCATGCAGTGCACAGGTGAATATAAAAACTATTATTTCTTTTACAAGTACCTTTTTGGTGATGTGCAAATGAATATATAAGTCTCATTCCCCTCACTATATTGGAAGAAGGACTACTTTTAATTGCAACAGTAGAAGGGAATGGGTAATTGGCGACCATGGTATCATGGAGCTACTGAGCTACACTATGTCATTTATATTCAAAACTAGATTGCATAATATTTGTTAATTGTTGAATCAGTCATGACTTTCTCCAGGGCTGGAAGTAAATAATGTTAGTTGTTTTCTTACCTTATTTTCTAATAGATATGGTAAAATATTGAACACTCAAATAATTCAGCCAGAGTCAGTGGCCTCATTGGATAAGTCCTTCATTCTTTGTTCAGGAATCATTTAGCTCAATATCTTTATTTAAAATCTACATTAGAGCTGGTAGGGAACAATTAGTAGTTCAAATTCCTCATTCACCTATTCCTACAAATGGAAAAAAACAAAAATGTATAAAGGAGAGAAGCCTGTTGGAGCCTGAGGGGTTTTGTTGCACTCAAACCTAACAGAAACTCTCAGGAAGATTCTTCAGTCACCATGTCAACTAACAATGATGTTTCTCTTTCTTCATATGATGAAGGTCAGGAATCCAAATGTACCCAAAAAGCTAAAAAGGCATCATTCATCCCCATTGGAATAGCAGATTTTGCAGCAATTGTTGTATATGGATTATACAAATTGAAGAGCAGGGGAAATACTAAAATGTCTGTTCACCTGATCCACCTGTGTGTGGCAGTCCAAGGCTTTGTTGGAGTAATGACTCTTGGTATGGGCTATTCCATGTACCGGGAATTCTGGGCAAAACCTGAGCTTTAGAAAAAGAGATGCTGTCTTGGTCTCAATGGATATGCTTGCTTTAGTTAGACATCTAATATTGAGGTTACGTGTTTGTGTCAAAAACAAATCATTTGATGGGTTCAGATAAGGTATTTTGAATATTGACTTCCATTTTCACAGACTTGATTTGCCTGGTGACCAAAATTATTAGTGCCTAGTTCACTAGCAAGGTCATTCAAGAAAGTCAAGTTAACACGAAAGAAACCTGTCACCTAAATGTACTATGCAGTGCTAAAATTTCTACCTTTTTAAACCCTTATGATGAAACTAGTTCTCAAGAAGACTACAGACTAACCTTGAAGTATTCCCAATTTGCTGCAGAATATCACATGTTTAAGGTGTTATGTAGTAGTCTTGTTTACCCCAGTTAATTTAACATTTTTCTATGTGCCTTGTGGACTGGCTGAGTACTTCAGTTTTTTAGGGCTGATTGGCTCTGGGAGAAACTGCTTCGAAAAAAGTGCATGGACGATAATTTGTAAAGCTTCTTTTAATTGATGTGTTTATATGTTTAAACCAAACCTAGAAAACTTGCAATGGGGCTGCAGAGTAGTATTCATTTCATAATCACACTTGCAAACATGAGAATTACTTAATTATGGATTCTACTTTAGTTTTTTTTGTAATTACAGAATAATTTTGCTGCTGTTAGATGAGAAGAGTTCTTAAATGTCATCTTGGAATAGAAATATGTCTTTAAAGTATTAATACAAAGCTAAATGGAAAACACTTTTCAAATGTGTGCAGTGTACTTATTTGTTTTTCTTTGTAAAACTAAACAGATTACCCATAATGGAAGTGATTAATGATATGTAAGCAAGCTAGTTTGTTTTGACATTATATGCAAACTTTAATATACTATAGAATGCTTTCTTGCACTTGTGAAATTCTCTTTTTTAATCTGAATTTACATTCCATGGTGATAACATGATATATATATATATATATATATATATATATATATATAGTTATTAAAGTAAGTGAACATAAAATATGTATAAAGGAATATGTGGATATATTTGATTTGTTACCTAGCAATGTCTGTTGATAAATATATAAAGTTTTCATTGAGAGGCAGAATAATACAATGAAATTAATGCAGCCATTATACTCAGACAGACCTGGGTTTAAAACTAGCTCTACAGTGGTCACATGTCTTCACTATATCTCAGATTTTTCATCTATACTATGGAGATAATCCTTTCTCTCCCATTTCTGTATCCCTTTGGGGCTTAGGGTGTTATGCACACATACCTGACATATTTTTTCAAGCTACTGGGTCCAGGATTTGAACCAAACAGCCACGTGGCATCCTGCTCCCTTAACCAACAGGTCATGGAGCCTGTCCTAGAACAAGTTTTAAGATTGTTTTTCCTTCTGTTTCTCAATTCTTGAGTTTTTAATACCCTCCAAATACTTTGCCATCTCATCATTAATTACAAATTTGCTTATTCCTTTAATACTAGACCACTAAATATTAGAATACCAAATTTAAGTTACTGTTTAAAACTATTACTCACATTCTCTAGAATCTGTTTTTCATTAGAGTTTTATTTTTTTTATATTGTAATTAGTGCTCGTTTTAGATCAGATTCCTAGAAATAGAGCCTGAGAGAGGGATTTTGGTACACATGATTTACTGAGGAATTATTCTTCAGGAAACAGACGGGAATGAGAAAAGCTGAGTAGGGAAGGAAAATTGCCATGGAGGTGATGTATAAGCCTTAGACTGATCTACCAGGGAAGAAGGTCTGGAGCATAAATCCCTTTACAGAAATGTCACTTTGAAGCGAGAGGATCAGCGTTTTGTATGTCATTGATACAGCCTTTGATTTTGAAGGAGAGTATATTTTGGTGGCTTCATCTCTGAAGACAATAGTTAATTATGAGCCAATTGCAGAAAGTACTTCCAGCAGTTGGGAAATAGATACATGCACTGGTTGAGGAGACTGAGGGGAATACCAAAGTGCAATTTCTTTAACTGCAAGATTTTGAAGTCCATAATTTTTTTCTCTCTACTGACATCATGGTAAATGATAGTTTCTAGACTTGTATGAACTAGAATCTAACTTATACTGTTAGGCATCTCATTTTATACATATGAATATTCCAAAAAATCAATCAATCAGTCAAACATTCAAAATATTTTTGGTCCCAAGCACTCTGGAAAAGAGATACTCAGCCTGTGGTGACAACCCTGAAGCATAAGCTGCAAGGGAAGGGCCTCAACAACTACTCAACAGCAGAAGGAAGGCAACAAAGACAAATGTTTATGTAAAAATGATACTTGAATACAAATTGTCCTCGCATCAAACTCAATAATTATTTTTCTCTGCTTGATTATCATTTGATTTTGATTTATCCCTAAAGCATTGAGGCTCCTATTCAGTTTAGCCATAGATTCTTACCTTCAGCTCTCCCTACCTCCAGAAACTTCAGAGAGACTTTGGCATCAAAAACCTCAGCGGTTGTATTGCTCAGAGTCCATCCAGGAAATCCAAGTATTTTAAGTATTTCAAACAGTGAGTTTAATCCACAAAATTATTTTTACAGGCAACAGGAATGCACAAGGCAATGCCCAAGGCCAAACGGGATAGTGAACAAACCCAGAGATTGCAACAATAAAGTCACTACAACTCCGAGGCTGGAGGAGCAAAGGTGAAACCAAGAGTTATCTGAGAGAAGCTGGAAACACAGCTGGCTCTCCAGAGGGAACTGGGACTGTGGAAGAATAAATCTATTCAGAGAAGAGGACAAATATCCTAACTTTTCTCTCTCTTCATTCCTCCAGGATCATGCCATTGCTTCTTACTGAGCTCAGCCAGAAGACAGCTGACTTGAAAGCTGGAAAATGGCCTTTTAAGGGTCAACCACCTACAGTACAGAACACAGCAGAGGAAAGACAATAAATTGGTATTGTCATAAATAGTCAAAGACAGGTACAATATTATTTGCTAAAATAACCTTAGGAGGTTTGGTTTGGCTTTCTAAGTTTCCTGTTCCTTTGTCTACTTCCGAGACAACATCACATGTATAATATTTCTTAATTCATTTCCTTGGTGATTGTATTTTTCCCAGAGTTTCTGTTCATTATTCACTTTCAAGTCACTGGCTGATAACCAGATTCTATGTGTCATCTTCACTGTCGTATATTTTCCTGTATTAGATGCTTACTCTTCCTTAAAGCTGATGTGCGTGCTCTTGAGCAGTGGTAGCCACATTTGTGTTTTGTGACTTTGCCCTCTGGCCATAGAAGATTGGCACACAGGTCTAATCTCAAATTCCAATCAAATTTACCTCCTGATATATGGGAATCATACATTGTAAATATTAGTGTATACTAATAGTTAACTGTATTAACGGAGGATATATAAACTCAAGAATGTGCAATGGCCGTTTTCTGGGTACATGAAGAAAGAGAAAGCAACTTTCAGAGAGAAAGCAGAATAAAGTAGACTAGCAGCTGAGATGGGAGATCAAGTGCTAAAACCAAGTGCTCCCCCACCACCACCCTCGAAAAGAAGACACCAGGAAGGACAACATGTATCCTTAATATTTCCAGTTCCTAGTTTTGGACTTTAGGAGGGGGTTCAGTTTCATTTCCTTCTCTTGGATTCTGAGAAACACTCTGGTATCCTTTACAAATTCCTTTTTTTTTTTTTTTGGTCTATTTCTAGGGATTTTCTATTGCCTGCAACTGAAAGATCCTTGACAAAGAGGAGATTTTTAACTAAATTGAACACATAGTTTAAAATTTAAATTACATGCTTATTTTCTCACATCTCCATTTTACCTCCTTTAAGATAGTAAGTAAGATAAAGATATGGAATATTGACACTTATTTTCACCTTGATAATCTTCCTACTGAATCTACCATGTATTTATTGATATAGTATGTCCTGTTAGATTGGGACTTTGAATTGGTAAAAGAGGAAAGCTATAATAAGCCTCAGAACTGACTTGGAATGTTGATTCAATGCCTGCATAATGATAGTATCTACATACAAGCACATTATAATGTTCTGACACACATAAGGAGACTGTGTCACCCTGTCACAATTTCCTGTCTTAAAGGAAGACCATATAAAATCCCAGTCTCAGCTCTCTAACACCACTAGATTTTCTGTGGCATAAGGGACAATTGACAGACCACTTTACCTCAGTCTGAACTTCGTGGAGAGCCTTCTTTTACTTTCAGCTCTACCATAAGATAACCATTTGTGATTATTGTATAAATAGGTTGAAACAAGGCACTCAATTGTGTTTATTGCCATATCCCTCCAAAGGAGTCCACCAAATCTCATTCTTGTAGGAAAAGCAAGAAAGAAATAGCAACATGTCATTCATATTGTCACATTCCTCAGAGCACTGGACCCCCAGAAACATCTGAGTTGTCAGGCTACATACTGTATTTGATAGTATTTATATTTCACTCACATTCATTTATCTGACCAAGAACTTTGTGTACTTGAACTCCCAGTTCTATGGATCATTTCTGTCTGATTTTTTTTTAATGCAAAGAATGAGCATGACATCAGGCAGGTGGTCTAAAAGAGCTGACCTCTTAAAAATGATTTAACCTGTGAAGTGCTCAATATCCTTCCAATAAATTGCCATTTGCTTTACTTAGCCTGGGTCAGTTTCTTTGTTCTCAACTGGAAACCCTGGTGATTCTCAAATTTGTACCATGAAGGTAGTTGCAGGCAACAGATGTTCAGGAATATTGGGCTGTTTTAGAATTGGTTATGACTGTGATGAAGCAAGAAGTAGTGAAACTATCAATCATATTTCAAGACATGAAACTAGCATCAGACAACAGAGAATTACATTATTACCTCTGATTAATAGGATCTGGAAACAACCAGGATTCTAGAAAATTTGACAGTAGGAGTCAGCAAGAGGGGAGGTCAGCAAAATTTGTGACAATTGACTGTTTTTTAAATAAAAGATTTTTTTCCCCATAATCAGTGCCTTTTTAATCATGCTCATTCTTTATTGTCTATGACAGTTTCATGTTACAACAGTAGAGTTGAATAGGTGCAACAAAAACCTCGTGATTCATAAAGCTTTAAATATTCATTATCTGGCCTTTTACAAAGAAATTTTGCTAATTCCTGCTTTAGGTAACTGCATAGATTTTTGCCATCACATAATAAAGATATCATGAATTCATGAATTGTGACATAATATTGGATAAATTAATAATATCAATAATTATTAATTCTAAAAATTCCTGCCTCAGAGCACAGTCTGATAGAGTCATTCTATGATAATTCTGAAAGAATATCTCAAATAATTATAGAACAAAGCTGTCCAAAAGAGAAATTCATTATTTGATACAGGGATTGCTAAACTAATGATTTATAACTACTTATAACATCTTAAATAATTTGTAATGAGAGATACTATGACCATGAAAATAATTTATAAGAAATTCACTAGTTATCTTACTATAGATTCCTCACACGAATCAATAAACTTTGGGGCAACAGGTAGCATGGTGGTTAAGGGTACTGGGCTCCCACTTGGCTGACTATATGGTTCAAGTTCTGAACCTGGTGACTTGCTTTCTCACTTTCTTTCTCTGTCTCTTTCTGGTGAGCATGTGTGCCCTGTAGCAAATTAATAATAATAATAATAATAAATACAATTAAAATAAATCTTAAAGAATCAGTGAATTTAAAATATTACTTTAAAAAATGTACAAAACAGACAACCACTTAAGTATGCCTGATCTTTCTGGTGACAACAAATAGCTGTTAGTATTTTTGAAGAAGGAAAATAAGAAGCACACATTTAATAAGATCGTTCAAAGTTTTTAATCAAAATGAGATAGTAACAACTTTAATGGTAGATTGCATAATGGTTACATTGCTGGACTCCCACATAATTGACCACAGTTCAAGTCAAACACCCAGTCACTTAAAACTCTCACCGGGCATGTGTGCATGCGTGCCCAAAATCCCAAGAGGAGAATGGAGAAGGGATTACAGTGTGGTCATAACCCCTCTGGGGGGGGGTTGGTTTACTGTTTTCTGTCTCTGTCTGTCTGTGTCTCTCTAGTGAGTGTGCACGCTCTATAGCAAAAATCTCTTTAAAATAAAAAACCAATTTAACACTAGCTAAAGTACGTTTTCAAAATAGTCATTTAGAATTTTGTCCATCATTTTATTATTTTAAAGTTCAAAATGATACAGTACATCACATATAAAAACTTTTTCTTTATTTTTTTTTTTTTTAGTTTTCAGTAGGTTGCAGAGGAATAGGAAAAGTAGAAATCATCCCCCAGGTGGTATGGCTACGCCACATTTCCTTCTCCTCTATTCACCCCTAGGATTTGGGGCATGCACTCATACACACCCAGTATGCTTTTTAATTTGCCAGGTCCAGGACTTGAGTCAGCCATGTTGCACCCAGCCATCTTAATTGCCAACTTTCTCACTGAGATGCACTAATTTTTAAGTGTTGAAATAATACCCTTGCTATGCTGGCAAAACCACTTGACCATGATGTATTACCCTATGTTATATATAAGATACAGGTATTATCCTATATTTTACATAAGATAAAAGATATAGATAGATAGATAGAATTCTACTTGCTAATATTCTGTTAAGGATTTTCATGCCTATGGTTTATTGGTCTAAGAGAATAAATCTCTTCTACTAACTCTACCAGCTGAAGAGTAGATGCTGATTTCTTAGATTTTCAAATGATTCCAGTCCTTCTATTGTCTGACTCTAAACACCCTGCTGTTTCTTGTTGAACAAGCGTATAGTGAACACTGCTCTAGATTATCATCCCCCCTAATACTAAGGTCTTCCTTCTGAACCAGAAGTTTTTCATAATATGTGAGGGTGCGTGTATAAAGGTGCATGTACCACCAGTTTCTGTCTATTCTCAGTAGTGAATTGATTTCCAGCTAGTTTTCAGCCACTGATAGTCTACTCTATCCTACTGTAGTTGGCACTCTCCTGACATGGAATTCAGTAATCCTTCCATAGACCCTGGAATTCTTAAAGTGGCAATAAAGGTAACTGGAGCACCCATTATGTCTGGTGTCTCTGTGGTCATTGATCCGTATAACACTTTGCTCTTCCTGAATCTTATTTCCCTTTGTTCTACATTTCTTTGTATACTTGCTTCATCAGAATTCATCTTCTTTCCTATTTACATCTTTGTATCCCTCCGTTGGCTCTTTCTGATCAATATATAAATGTGCTCAGATATCTGTCAAAATAAAAACTTCTTTCATTAAAACTTAAGTAGATTATTAAAATAAATAAATGATCTAATTTGATTGTTTAGTTACTAACCCATACTTTTCCTCTTATAGCCAAACTTTTAAAAAGAAAAATCTATGCTCATTGTATTCATTTTTCCATTAATCTTTCACTCATCAAAAAATGTGAGTTGTTTCATGCCCCAACAATTCAGCTAAAGTCACCAGTAACTTATTAACTTCCAAATGCCCCAAACCATTTAGAACTTTATTTATGTGACATATTGGTAGAATTTGACATTTTCTGCTTTTTTGCAGGCTCTCTGCTATCATGACATTTTCTGCTTTTTTGCAGGCTCTCTGTTTTCAATCTATATGTATATCTATCTATCTATCTATCTATCTATCTATCTATCTATCTATCTATCTCTATATAAAGGTATATATCTCTCCTAGTTATATGATCATTCATTCTGTTTTCTCTATGGTTCTGCACATTAATTTTGGATTCCACTCAGAGTCCTATCATTTTACCTCTTTGGCTTTAAATATAGTGGAAAGTCCCCAAAAGATTTAGTGAGTAGATTAATATAGATTAATTTTAATTTGTTAGTTCTATTCATCAGAATAATATAAGCTAGCATTTCTGAGCTTATTACATGCTAGACACCTTGTTGAATGCTTAGATACATTCTCATTTAATTTAATTAATTCACTCCTATGGGAGGCATAATTAGCTGCATTTTTCAGACATAGCATGCACAAGGTCATGAGAGATTGGTTCCCTTCGACAATAGATCCTATGCCCTAGCAGAGATACAATTAATGTCTATGGCTTTTACTGTCACTTTTGTAGTTACCAGTTTTCTCTTCAGCCTTCTCTCCTGTGACCTAGAATTATAGCTATAAGGAATATGCGCCTCAAAGTCATCATGTGCGAATCTGCGTTCATGATCATTAGTTCAAATCTTCCATTTTCCAGTGTTCTTTTTCTTAGTGAATAATATTACCCTATGCTCTTTGTCAATTAGAGACCTCACAGTCGAGGCCAACAGGTGGCATGGTGACTAAGGTGCTGGACTCCCACATGGCCAACTGTAGTTTGAGTCCTGAACCTGGCAGTTGGCTTTCTCACTTTCTCTCACTCCTCCCTGCCCCACTCTGAAGAGAACATGTGCCCTACAACACATTGTAATAATAATAATAGTAAATAAAATTGAATAATTTTTAAAAGGAAAGGAACCTCACAATGATGCTGTTTTCTTATCTCTCATGCTGCCCTGGTCCTCAGTTTTCAGTCACCACATCCTGTCATTTGACCTGATTGCTCTCTACTACCACATCTTTTTCATCTTCTTGTCTTTGCCCTAAGTCAGACCTCTCTGATGCCCTTACTAGTCTCTGTATTCAGTCTTGGTGCCCGGCTCCTAATTCATCACACACCGTGTTGCAAACATGCAAGTGACAATCTGGTCATGTTATCATCCCCTACCAAAATTTACTTGGAGGTTCCTCATTGCTCATAAGATATTTAAGTTCCTTATTATGACATATGAGGCCCTTTCACATTCACTCCTTACAACTTCTGTGACTGCATTCTCTGAATACTCTCCCCATTCCTACCGCTCACACCTTAGACTCCATCAGTACTTACGTTGTCTGCACAGGCTACAGTTTATCACACCTGTTCCCTCTACTTGGAATGTCCCCTCTCCTTTTCAACCAAGTTATTCTGTCAGGCAAGCTTTCCTTCAATAATTTAGATAAGTATTTACCACTTGGGTGAAACATTCTTGAAATTTCTCAGGTGAGTTGCCCTTCTCACCTCTGTGCCCATATTACATAAAACTTGCATGTAATTACATTATAGCTTAAAATGCATTAAACTTAGCAGTATTATTTGTTTTCTCATTTGACTCTAAGGAGATGGATCCTGTATTTTTACAAGTGTATGTTTTCATATATGTATGCCTTTCATGATATGGTTCTCCATTGCTTATCACTGATTCTCAATTAGGATTTTTTTTTCTTTTCCATAGGGTTTGTGCATTTGCCAAAGAGATAGAAAGAGAGGGAAAAGGAGAAATCTTCCCCCTAGAAGGATGGCCATAACACAATCCCTTATATCCACTTCCTCTAGGAATTTTAAGCATGCACACACACATGCCCAGCATGTTTTTCAAGCCTCTGGGTCCAGGACTCAAACTATGGAGTTAGCCATGGAGAATCCAACACCTCAACCACCACACCACTCACTGGCCCTCAGTAAGGATTCTTTGACTAAAGAGCATTTAAGAAGCACTGAAGAAGCATTGAAGAGAAGATGGAAAAGAAAGAAAGAAAGAAAGAAAGGAAGCAAGAAGGAAGGAAGGAAGGAAGGAAGGAAGGAAGGAAGGAAGGAAGGAAAGAAAGAAAAGAGAAAGACAAAGAGAAGACAGAGTTATAAGAAACTGCTCCAGATTCCTTGTCACTTTTTATCTTTTGTTTTGCCAAATAATTTTGGATCTTCCTTCCACTGGCTAAATATCTGGATCATAGATGAGATTTGCGTTCTTACTTATTTAGGTATAATGCCTGCCTCTATAGCCAGGTAAGTGCCTACCTCTGTAGCTGGGTAGGTGTCTTCAAAATTCTCCTACTTCATTGGATAATCTTTTGCCAGCTACCGGCTTCCTTTTGAATCTCATTTCCTTGTTACTGACATCCTTAATAAATAACAATCTTAAAAGAAAACAACATTTT